GCTTTGGCTCCGACTTCCTATCGCAGGTTAGAAATATCAGATTTTCAATGAAAACTAGGTTGGCGACTTCCTGTTATAGTAAGAGGTGAGAAGTGAGGCTCCAGTCACCCTTTAGTGAACCCCTGCTTCCACCCTGCCTGCGCGATGCGTGCATTGCGTAAGCGGTCTGCGTACTATAGATTTGTGGGCCTCAGCGCAGCCGTACCCTTTCCTGGGACTTCCATTTTTCTCTACCACCTTATGGCATCTTCCGAGGGTCTTGTAACCCTAAATGTCGCCCTCCTTGATGTCCCTTGGCAGTTTGAACTGGCCCAGGACCCCCAAGTGGACAACTCGTTTGGTCGCGTGCTGCTGGCAGCCAGCTGAGCTATCTACCCCAATGACCTGCGGCCTCATTAGGAACAACACGGTGGACTCGGCTTTTGTTAACACCTGCGTATGGCTTGCGGGTATCCTGCTCCCATCGTGTGCTCCAGATGGTTGCTGGCCTTGCCTCGCTCCTCCCTCGGACAACCGCCTGCCACTTCCTTTTCCACTGGTAGGTCCTCCACATAGCGACCCAAGCGGGGAGCTCCATATGACTAGGTAGATAGAAGATTTTATCCTCTCCTCCACCAATGAGTTTTATTAGGTGTGAGAATTACTCTACGAATACGGCAAAAATTCTCCCTTTGTATTAAAACCTAACCTACTTCCCCTACAACTTTTGCATTAGCGCTTACGGACCGGCAGATCACCGATGGAAGGCTGGAGCGGTCACCTTTTAGTCCCGATGACTCAGGATTTCCGCCGAGTTCATTAGCCCCCCGGGATACGATAGACGTCAGTGACGAAGGGTTGAACCACTAGTTTGAACATGGCAAAGGCCTCCAGCAGCGGGATCCAATCAGAGCTCACTGCTCATTTTGGTTAGATTTTAAGGTTGGGGCGACGCGCCAGACAGCTAGCCGCGAGTGGGACCGTGTAGTAATAGCGTGTAAGTAAACGCCGGATTTTCTCTCTATTCGACTTGGATGACTCTATGAATATGGCACGATTCTCCCTTTCTACTACACTCGGCCTGCTTTCTCTTTGTAAACCAGTACATCGATGTATACGGACAGGCGTGTTCCCGATGGGACCTCATTCCCTCTCGGGTTTGGGGAATCCAGTTATTACCCACAGTCCGAACGAAGCGAAGAGACAACCACATCGCCGACAGGGATGGTCTCAGGTTGCCTTGAGCCGCCGGCAAAGCGTAACAGGTACCAAGTCTAGCTGTTATGCCAGCTTCAGGGAAAACTCGGTCGAATTGTCCATGTCCAGGATATCACGGGCTCAACCCCTGGGGTACGTAAAACAGTCTGACGAACAGGTAGGTTTGATCTCAAGGTCTGGGATCAGCCTCCTCAATGTTTGACAGTCTAGGAAGCACCTCGGATGCCCCCGCCGGCCGTAGATATGGAGTTCTCTCGGCCCATAACAAGCCCCCCCTAATACCTTCAGGTTGCTCGAGGACCTCAATCACCGTGCTCCGGGATGACGCCGCGACACCATGACACTTGAAGCTGTTACTCAGCATTCACGTCGGATTATTGTTTACCAAGTGCCCAAAAGGACCGCATCATACGCCCAGGACCACCAGGGGCCTAAAGATAATCCGGTGGACAAGGTCGTGTTTGTTGTCTGGTAGCGCGAAGTTACGGCACGGATTGGCCTTGTCAATCAGAGGCATCACTAAAGAGAGCTGGGTCGAGGTTCGTTCGAGTGTCGATCTGTTTCCACCTTCGCCCGCTTGGTGAATCTAACAACAAAGAAGAATGTAACCTACATAAGCCGGTTGTCTCCTTTATCCTCTTTCGTAGTCGCCGCAGTCTATACCGGAGGATTCCCCTGACATCTACACAACCCCCCCCATATACTGGCCGAGAGGTTATACTAACACGGAAAAGGAAGTAACCAGTTCTATCAACATGACATGGAGCCCCATTCTCACCTCTTCCAATACTAAGGAATCACTTACCTACAAGTAGATTTCGCCGAAAGACTAATATTTCCGCATCTATAATAGGAAGGCGTAGCTGCGACTTCCGGTCTCCCTCTGAACTTGCCATTTCCTACTCTCGCATATACTTGCTCCAAAATCGAGTACCGAAAGGCATTTTCCGATACAAAAGTCCGACGAAGTGATACGTTAAGGCTACGTGATCTGGCAAGTTATAAAAGGTCCGTTCCCTGTCCCAAAATCACCGTTCCATATAACTATCTCTTTACATTTACAATTTGAAGTCACCGGGAACTCATTAATACAAGGTCATCGTGTCTCTTATTCACAATGCGGTCTTTTATCCTTATCCTTGCCTCAATGGCCGCGTTGACCCTGGCATCACCTACTCCCGTTGGTAAGTGACGCAGAAAAGACCTGAACTCACAAAAAGGTAATAGGCTAAAGCTTCCCAACGGGATATAGTTCGAGATCCACCCACTCTAGCAGGCCGAGATACTCCCACTTTAACAGCAGGCCAACATTGCTTTATCGGAACCCCGAACTGTGTTTGCGAGTGTTGTGGAGAGTCTTCAGGTCCGAGAGTTTGCATACTGCTGCCCCTTCCGGAGGGGGATGATTGCGGATGTCCCTAAGGGGGCGGATTGCGACTGTTGAGGAAGCCTCGTCAATCAGGACATCAGCTTAAGGAATATAGATTAGCATGGAGGATCTATGGTTCTCAGTCGTTGTATGGAGTTCCTCGTAAGAGGTTTAAGCTCGGCCGACTGTCAGGGGGTTCCGTTCGTTTCGTTCATGGCATTAACGATGTGAAAATCCATCTGTGCTCGATTTTGCCCCTTGGGGCTTGATCTTGAACGAGAAAAACGTATTTTCCAAAGGCCTGGTCGAAGGTATATATTTAGTGAAGAGCTCCAGATGCTCATTGAAGAACTGGCCTGTGTGGTTAAAGGGGCCCCTGTATACTTTTCTTAGTCGTTTGAATAGCGAGCGAGATAGTGGCGTAGTCAAAATACAGATGAGAAGTCGTGAAATGTGGCAGAGCGGTCATGGTATGAAGCCTCCCCATACTGTGCCAGACAAATTCCAAGTCGCAATTGCGGAGAGAGCGGGAATGAGATCAAATCGATCTGTAAGGCCTGCACCGAAATGAAACTAGCTCTCATATCGTTCTCCAACCCCTCAATTCACTACCCCTCCGGGAAGCAGGAGACCTTCATTAGCAACGGACACCAACTGGCGTATAACGTGCGTCAAAATCCCGGTGTAGGGGCAGCAGTCCGAATGGTAGACCACTATTACGATGTCTGTCAGTTCTGTCCCAACTGGGAAGGCGTCGTCAAGAACATTCAACCATGTCGCCAGTTTGCTGGGCGGATGATGTTAAAACTCTTCAATCTGGAGCATTTCATCGTCGGCAACAGCGACGCAAAGGCCCAGCGGTCTGTACCATCAGCCAGCGCAAAGCTTTCGATCTTTCGGTCATTTAAGTACCTGAGCTGCCTGTTGTATCGATTCGCCTAGTCTTATCGAGGGGAAGAAGATGCTATGCGATGTTCTTATCGTATGGTGAGCTTAATGAGCTCGTCACCGGATTGCTTTCGCGAAACTAGTTCCTAGCATATTACTTAAACTTGGACTTCCTCGCGGAGCGATATTCACTAGTAGCGTCATGTAGTAGCGGTGATGGATCCGAAACTTTCAGCTAGGGAGTGCTTGACACCCGTCGTTTGACAATTTTGAGGGGGAGAGGCTGCGTGGGGTAGTCCAAATGCTAGCAAACATGAGTTTGAGCAAGGGTAGGAGGGTTTCTTGAGTAGAAGGTACTCAAGGTTGTGCGTGAAGAAAGCGGGATCCGTAGAACAGTGTCCTGGGGCCACAGAGCCCTGGTAAGTTGGCTGGTCTACAGGGATCATCATAGGGAGACCGGAGGAAGAACGTTCGGTGCATGGACATAGTACTCTTCTGATTGCAGCAAGCGGTAAGGACATGGCTGGTAGTATGGATTGAGTGTGTATGGCTGTCATGCCACCGCATTGTGGTTCCCTGCTCGTGAGCGTCCACATGTGGGAAGGGGGCTTCAAGGCACCAGAGAAGTGTTTTGGTAGGTTCAGCGAGTATCATATAGTTGCTCAGAAGCCCTATGGCCTAAATGTCCGCATTTCGTGTGATATCACATGTCGCCTAGTCTGGGGGCTTAAGTTCCGACCGCGACGGCAAGGAGGGATGTGCCGTGGTGCCTTCCTAGGAACCCCAAAGGGCCTTCGTTTGTGCCCTGGTTAAAACTTGACAGCCTGGCGAAGGGCTGACCTTTGGCCCCTGCCCCGATGTAGTCAGCAAGGTGAGCTGGCCCAGCCGAGCCTGAGCCGACGTTGAGCCGGACGCGAGCGAACCTGAGCAAAAGCGGCGTGAAGTCACGTGGGAGGGAAAGCGCGAGATTCCGACCATGACACAAAAAATTCACGCTACGCACGCACAATAAACACAAAGTAATTGTCCTTGTATAGTCGGACAGTCTCGTACTCTGTACTTGTGCGTGCGTGCGTGAATGCCCGTCTTTACCTTCTCTACGTAAATCCCCCTGCGAATGATACTCGAACTCGTACTTGTGGGTAGCGCAATACCTATGTAGGTACCTAGATATGTACGAGATACTCGTGAGTACTTGGACTGGGTAGTACTCGTTCGCTGGAACCGGAGGCGACGGAAGACCTAGCGACCTCGGGAATAGATAGAGATGGAAGCGGAATATGTTCCGTGACATGGCATAGCGTACGTGGTACATCGTTCTTCCTCCACATCTCCCTTGGCTGCGCGGTGTCTAGAGTCCCAGCACAGACGCAGACGAGGGCATTTATATCACTACACCCAATCTCGGGTGCTGATTTCTGCTAGCAATACTGCTTGTCCTGTCGACCTGTCCGTCTCATTGGGCTGACTATCTGACCAGTTCCCCATGTAAAGTCGTCTTCTTGTTGGAATGACACAGAAGATGGCCGTGCTTTTTGTAACGCGGCTATAGCATGTAGCGGTAGTCGGGACTCATATCACCCAGTTCTGTCTTCTCGTACTCTGTCAGTCCAATGTCGTGCGTCTTCTCGCGTTTCCGATTCTGGGTTAGACAAGCGAGATAGTAGATGATGCACGAGGCGCCGCTGAGGCAAATGAATCCCATGCAAATGCTGTAGCCTTTGTGGAAGAAGCTTTTGGCGTCAGTGGCTTCGAAGCTGTAACTGGCGATGATGCCTATCAAGAAGGATTAATATTTCTTCAGCATAATCAACAAGACACAACTCACCTCCAATGTTGCCAAACCCAATCTGCCACGCTGTGCCCACCGCGCGGCGGTGGTGACCACCCAGGTTCATCGAGAACCAGCACACAATAACTGGCATGGCACTGTATGTTCCCGAGGTGATCATAAACAGGGCACCATAATCCAAATCCGTATTGTGATGCTCAGTCATGAGTATGGCAAAGCCTGCAATGGCAATAAAAATATTCACCATGGCAAACACAAACCGGTGGCGAAACCGATCCGAAAGCGCAGCAATGAGCATGCTCCAACCAAAGGCTGCAGCCCACGGTGGGACAGAGTGCAGTTGGGTCCCAATGGCGCTGTATCCGTACGTCTTGATGATGGTAGGAGCAAAGTAAGCGTAACTGTAGGCTGCACCACCTGTCAGTTATCCATCGTTTGAAAACCAAAATCGGATGAACCTACCAGGCACAATCAAACCAAAATACATGAAGCCTCCCACGATAATCTTGTAGTCTTTGAAGCAGTTGATGACATCCTTGACGGTGATGCGTCGGTCGAGAGCCGAATTCCCCTGATCGTCTCGGAGCCGAGCCTTGATATACTCACGCTCGGCTTCAGTCACCCATTTCGCGTCTTCGGGAAAGTCGGGGATGGCGAAGAACCAGACAAAGGAGACGACACAGGTCAAACAGCCTTCCAAGATGAAAACCCATCTCCAACCCAGATACCCTTCCATGCCGTTCATTTTACCAATGGCCGAAGCGAGCAAGCCACCGAAAGCGCCAGCGAGCGTGGTGCTGGCAAAGAAGAATGTATATCTCTTCTGTGCTTCGTGTCTCTTATACCACATGCCAATGAGATAGAATGCTCCTGGGTATCTGTTAGATGCATGGCCTCGGACACTGGAATTGAAACATCACTCACCGGGAAACATGCCGGTTTCGAAGAAGCCAAGGAAGAATCTGGTGGTGAGAAAACCGCCATACCCTTGAACTAGACCTTGACAAATAGTGACCAGGCCAAAGCCAAACATGCAGATGGACAGCCAAACATGAGGCCGCAGTCTCTTGAGGATGATGTTGGATGGGATCTCAAAGACTACGTAGGGGACAAAGAAGATGGTCAGGGCTGTGCTGTACTGAGTGCCGCTCAGGCCAAGATCCTTTTGAAGGCCAAAGATGGCGGCATTGGCGACGTTGGTGCGATCCAGGAAAGCCAAAAGGTACATGACTGAGAGAACGGGAATAATGCGCAGGTCAATCTTGGTTATGAGTCTCCGCTCCGAGACTCCAGGTGGTAACACAGCGACTTCGCCGTCTCTGTACCCGGCAGCTGGATGAGCCAGATCTGGATCATAGCCCAGTTGGTGTTCACCCGTGCCATGCGCATCATTGTAGGCATGCTGAGCCTTTTCATCTAAATGAGGGATTAGTTGGGAGGCGAATTGGCAATACAAGCTGACCTACCGGACCCGTCGATATCGAAGCGCATGATGGCGGCGAGGATAATGGCTTCTTGGAGTAAGAGATGCAATGACGAAAATCCGGGGGAGGAAGAAGATCAAAGTGCGTCTCTAGGAGGACTGCGGGTCTCTTTGTAGAGTCACCAGGAGCCCTGTGAATGCCGGGTTTGGTAGCCGCCGGGGACTGGAACAGGAGCTTTGTCCGAAGCGAGTGGCAATCCTGGTGATGGTGTGTGCAGACATTTTCTCTGGACCTCCCACTGAGTTTGGGCGGTGGGGTTGAGCAGAGTAGAGGTGGCTGCCAGACAGAGGGCAGTTTGACAGCAGATCTTGTTGTGGAAACGACATGGATGTAACATTGAAGACCTGGGTTCGAGTGGTTCCTGTGGGCAACTTGGCAACTTGGCTGGGCCAAGCGACGGGCTATAGGCTGGGGAATTTCAAGCAATGGTTGCTTGGAGCGACCTAAACCTAGGGGCCGTGGAGAGAGAACCGCCCGATATGCTTAAACAAGCTTAGCAGTGGCGTCTGCCCCGCATGCTGGAGCAAGTAACCGATGCCAAATGTACGGGCGACAGACCGATAAGCCCCGGGGAGTGAGGGATAGTCGATGAAGGAGGGCGGAGAAAGGACGAGTACCTTGTGGTTGGGGGGATGGTAGAAAGCGAGGACGAGGATGAGGTGGCGTGGCACTCGTGGTTATGCCCGGTAAGCTCAACCTGCAGGATCCCAGGTCGGATTTCAGTCTTGTAGCTCCTCTTATAGGTATATGCACCGAGCATCTCGTGTTTCTCTCCTCCTCCTCTTCAGATAGTCCCATTCTTGGTCTGTGTGTTATGCGGCTTTGGTCATAAGGTGGCCGTGGCTCCCCATAGGAAGTGGAAAGACACCGGTGGTTGGTTCTCGGAGTCAACATCTGAGTCGCCACTGCGGAATTCTTTGCGCTCTTGTTCGAATGGCCTTGATAGATGCAGATGCAGCTAGTTGTGTGGTGGTGATGGCGTTGGCTGTGGCGCTGTTCTAGAAGTTCCAATACGACGCGATGCGGGTTGCGCCGGGAAGAGGGCGATCATGGGCCTTTTGTTGCCAGGTACTCTGGTGTGCCAGCCGATGCCTACCTAGGTATCGCTAGGTCTGGTGGGTGGCTGTTCGGTGGCTCTTATAGGTATGAGGTCTGGTGAGCTCAATCCCCGAGGTACTCTGGCCAGCTGCCAATAGAGATCAGTTGCTGCCCTCGACGCCCCCACGTCTCCTCCCGAAGTAAAAGAGACGTCAGAGGCAATCGGCCCATCCCCTAGAATAAACCAGCAAGGTCATCGTAGGCCTGGAATGGGCTTAGCTGCCGTCTGGGCAGGCGTGGCAGTCCCAACTGTCCGGCGATTGGGCGTCCAACGTCCAACGTCCAACTTCCAACTTGTCTGGTTTCTCCTCGTCGCCATTTTGGGGAGACACTCATTGTCAACCACCACAAGTCAATGACCGCGCCCGCGCCCGATCACAGACAATAAGAGTCCATGGCTGCACCGCGCGCCTCAACGCACGACAGTAGACTGAAAGGAGAGTGCTCGGCGTTAGGGCATGGGACACTGAGCCCCACGACGGGGTTTTCACTTGACCTGCCTCAGTTGCCTTCGATTCATCTCCATCTCCATCACCATCACCACCACCATCACTGCTTCTCTCCTAGCTGACCATTCCAAATCTTGTTCTTGAACCACTTCCAGCCATGAATCCATACTATCCTCCTCCTTTCTCTATCCCTGATGCTCCTTTCCCCCACATGTCCTCATCTGCCACCCCAGTCCTGGGAAAACGCAAGCATGACAATTTGACAGCACAGTCTGGCGAATTTGGCACTTTGCCCTCTCAGGCTCTTGGCCACCGCTTCCCTGCGAGGCAGTTTCAGGAGATGCACTCCATCGAATCCATGTCCTCTAGGTACCAGGTCGGACCGTCAGCACTGCCAGGGATGACTTTCGGCTTAGTCTCAGGCTCAACCGCAACCACTCCAGCCCGCCCAGCGATCTTCATCCACTCCACTGTCGAGAGCATGCAGGAAGGTCAACGCCCTACCATCGACCGGAACCAGACTTATTCGTTTGTGGGAAGCCCTGGACCCTCACCCGTTGACATACCAGGCCTTTCGTTGGACGCACTACGTACGAAAGCAAAAGCGAAAGCAAAACCCAAAAGACAAGCCTTCCTCCCCAGTCGACCCGTACAAAATTCCAAACTCGTCCACACCGACGTCTGGGCTGGTGTCTTCAGCTTTTGTGAGCCCAAGTTGCTGCTAGAACTGAAAACACTCAGTCGGTTCCACTATGAACTCCTCTCAGACAATTCCGTCATCTGGAGAAATAGCAGAATCCACCATTATGGCGCCGACATGCCAGAGTGTCCTAGAGGACTCACCGAAAAACAATACGTCGAGCTCTTGGCTGGTCGTGGCTGTCAGAGCAAAGATTGTCACCTAGGCAGGACTTTCAAGGTTCACTGGACATTTCAAGTTCGATTGTGCTCAAGCTGCTTCAAACAGAAAACAATGAGTGTAAGTCATCGTCTGTCTGTCCGTGCCCTACAGTCATTCTGAACAGCGTGACTTTTAGGAGAGTGCCCTTGCAGTCCATCGCCGGCACAGACTACCGATGAGCCCGACCCAAGTCCGCCCTAATGACAATCGTGCCCTCTGGGAGCTGCTGCCGCTCGCACGGACGGATGGGTAAGTGACCGATCAGCTGGACTACCACTAGCTGGGGTCTTTCCGCTGACAAGGGTTCTCTAGCCGCCGCGACAATAACTCACGCCACGTGGATACCGAAACAAACGACTGGGTGCATGCTGGTGGGAAGTTCACTTTTTTGAGAACGTCCTTTGACAAAATAGAAGCAGAGTTCCAGCGCTTGCGCGGGTCAGATCCGTCGAACAATGCGGTCATGGTGTGGGCAGATAAGATCCATAAGGAAACAATGGAGTTCATGGCTGAGGTAAACACACTGGAGGCGTGGTTCAAAGAACACGGGAAAACGACGCAGAACCCCGCGGGTAAAGCTTGGCGACAAAAGAGAATCGACTTCTTTCAAGCACGTGCCGCTGAGCTGGAGCCTCCCATGGACAGCACGATCTTATCTAAGATGGCTGCATTCATCCGGAACCTCAAGATTGCGACGGAACCCACGGACCGAATGTGGGACCAACTGAAGCCCAAGATAGAGCCATATCGTCTACAAGCACACCAAGTGGTCGAATTCGAGCGTGTCATGAAGTCTGAACGCCTCGAGTCCGAACCACAAGTCAGGCTGTTTAGACGCCTTCAGGAGCACCGCCGGTGCAGAAAGGCAGCGCCGCCCTCGTTTCGACCAGAGCAACGAGACGTCCTCATATGCGCGCACTTGGTGTACAAGCAATGTGTCAAGGAAAATGTGGCCGACGAAGATCTTCTACTACTGTGCCTGGAGAGGCTGTTCGTCACGTACCACTCGAGAGATCGCCGCGCAGTGGGACTCAACTACGACGGAACCACTGGTCAATATTGTCTCAGTCTGGACGATGCTCGGATGGTTGTCGAGGAAGTTCTTGAAAAGGCCATCTCGCCACACTCAGAACGGGGTAGGATTGTCTTTCAAAGTCTGAGATGTAGAGGCTGTACGCGAAATGACCACGTCCGAACCTGGTCCTTCGTGAGTGCGTTTGAACACATTCTTGAAACCCATGCCAGGAAAGTTGGCGAGGGTCTTGAGTACTATCAATTTGCCATCCCACACCCTGTGAAGAGTCTTCCGGGATTGTCTTCGGAAGACACTGGGGTCGAGTACAAATTCCCCTGGTATACGGCAAAATGGCCGATCAGTCTGCCTCTTGTCCCTTGCCACCAAGATATCTCGAAACTGGACAATTGGCACCCGAACGTTCAAACTAAGTTCACGCCCCTACCGATGGCTCTCAGAATGTCCGCTTTTCATGGCCGACAGGCTCTCCAGCAAAAGCACGCGGCCGACGACTTCGGTCCGAACCTGGTGTACGCGGCTGAGCAGTTGAACGGAATTTGGCTTCCAGGGCCTTCTCAGATGAAGATTGCCTTGAAGTACGCTCTGGACCTCTACGCTCAGAAGCATGTGGAAGAACCGCCCCTGTCGGCATTCATGGCATGCTTGGACGATTTGGCAACCGTGAACACTGACATCGAGCTGAAATTCCGATGTGGTATCTGTGTCAACCAAGTTAAGACCGCCAACAGCAACAGAAGCAGTAAGAATAAGGCAGACATGGAGAACATACACAGACATTGGGACCACTCCCATGGTGGCGGAGCTGTCAGCTGGGGTCAAGGACTGATGGATCTACCAAACGAGAGCCAGATTTTGCGAGAGATTGTAGGCGTCGACGATAGTCTACAAGGAAAGAAAGATGCGTTTGTGGAGCGAGAACATGTTCGGGCTTCAGATTTGAAGAAACGTAAGGACCCCAAGAGCAAGGTTCTTTTCAAGGTAACGTCGGCGGCAGAGGCGTTCGATGGGCTCTTTCCCAAGGTGGCTGAAGAATGAGGAACAATGCCCGCGTTTTTCTGGAGGAGCGGCTCCCTGAATTCATCTTGACCTTGCGAGCAAGGTTTCATGTTTAGCACCAAGAGTGCGGCCGGCCTTTGTCGAGCGGGCAAAGGTCATTGATGTACGAGTACTTTTCATTGGCGGCAGGTTCACAGATACTGCGCGCTGGATGAAACGGATCACGGGGCCAACGAGCTATCGAGCAACAGGGCCACAGGGCCACAGAGCGACAGAGCGACAGAGCGACAGCAGGACTGAGCAACAGCAGTATTGAGCAACAGCAGTACTGAGCAACAGCGCCACAGACAGCAACAGCAGTGCTGGGTGTGAGGGACACAGAGCGACAACAGTGCTGGGTATCTCATGGTCGTCCACAAACAGCCTGTCTCTCAGGCACGATTAGCTCAGAGCGACATGCACACATAGCTTCCTTCATAGAAAACAAATAAATAGCTTTCAAGCACCACTGACAACAACCAAATCTCGTATGTTTGCGCCCAGCCCGGGGGCGAAGCATAGCATGTTTCCCGAAATTACCTACAAGAGAAAAAGACACCGAGGGCGTAGGGAGGTATTCCTAATTAGGCAAACGGCAGCGAGACACGAGACCCAGGCAAATTTCCATGTGCCACCCTGATGCCTGATGATGACCCGGCTTTGGCCGTGACGAAATCAGCCGGAGAAAGACGTGCTTTTTCTCCCTCTTGGATTACGAGAAAATTGATGGAGCCACTTATTGTTGGGTCATTGCCGCGGACTAGCTACGAGTACCGACGAGCGAGTAGCATTCCCATTTTCTTCCCCTGCCAAGCCCGGATGAGGCTGACCGAGCGTGGTGCCAGGGCCACAAGTTCCCATTGGGCTGGACTGTGTGAGTGGTTGTCTTTGACTAACAAGATTAAGCAGCGTTAAATCATGACTCGCTAAAAGCGCGCCTGACCTATCGCTAGCGCCGAGCGCCGCAGCCCGCTTGCTGATAACGTCAATGCGGCGCGCCCTTCAGATAAAGACAGGCAAAGAAAAAAAATCTCATGATTTCTGCTTTGGGCCTTTTTTCCCTTTCCTAACAAGTACAAGGTACTGAAAAAGACTTCAGACTTGCCCATTGTTCCCCGTTCCTCCCCGCCACCCGTGTACTTGTTACTTGCTGTAGGGATTGTGCGCGCACACCTTCGTTTCCACTCTCAGTCACTCCTTTTCCGTGGGTCCTGGGTCCGTCCTTGTCTTGTCTCTTTAGCAACTGTGGACTGTGGACAGTGGACTGACTGACCGATGTCCAGTCGCCGATTGTCCATTATTCAGCCTCGCCGTGTTTGCCAACCCATGTCTCGGTGTCCATAACCTGTTCTGGAAAGTTCGGGACTTGTTCTTGCTCATTTTCTATAACTTGCTTCCCCCGTCCCCCTCTTCTTCATCCTCTCGTTCTGTTATCTGCGTTCAAAACACCCCATTCTCTGCTGTACCAGTAGACGTCTTTGTGCATAACCTCTCATAATGGCTGCCGCAACTGCTACCCGCACCTTTTCCAAAGCTGTCGCACGCGGCACAGCTTCAGCCACCTCGTCCCTCCGTCTCGCTGCTCGCTCCTCACGATCCAGTGCCGCTGCGAAACAGTTCTTCCAGCAATCATCCCGCCGCCAATATTCCTCCCAGTCGGCTCCCAGATCCTCAAACACTACCACCGCCGCCTACGGCAGCGCAGCAGCCGTCGCCGCTCTCGCAGGAGGCTACTATTACTTCACCACCCAGGGTACGGCAGGAGACGGAAGGAAAATTCTTCTCGAAAGTCCTGAGGCTCTGAAAAAGGGCAGCGCAGGACAATCCGCTGGGGTTTTCAAACCCACCGTTGAAGATTACCAGAAAGTGTACAACGCCATTGCAAAGCAGCTCTGGGAGATGGATGATTATGACGATGGCAGCTATGCTCCCGTGCTATTGCGTCTGGCGTGGCATGCGTCCGGGACTTATGATGCTGCTACAGGCACTGGAGGAAGCAACGGCGCAACCATGCGATTTGCCCCCGAGTCCGAGCACGGTGCCAACGCCGGCCTGAAGAGTGCCCGCGACTTCCTGGAGCCCATCAAGGCCCAGTTCCCCTGGATCTCATACTCCGACCTGTGGACCCTTGGTGGTGTCTGTGCTGTCCAAGAGATGTCTGGACCCATCATCCCCTGGAGACCCGGCCGACAGGATAGGGACGTCGCATTCTGCACACCGGACGGCCGCCTGCCCGACGCCTCCAAGGGCCCAGATCACATCCGAGCCATCTTTGGCCGTATGGGTTTCAATGATCAAGAGATGGTGGCCTTGTCCGGTGCTCACGCCGTTGGCCGATGCCACGCCAACCGCTCAGGATTCGATGGACCCTGGACCTTCTCCCCGACCATGTTCACAAACGATTTCTTCCGCCTGCTCATGGAGGAGAAGTGGGGCTGGCGATCCTGGAAGGGACCCAAGCAATACGAAGATGCCACGACCAAGAGCCTGATGATGTTGCCTACCGACATTGCCTTGATTCAGGACCCCATCTTCAAGACGTGGGTGGAGAAGTATGCCAAGGACCAGGATTTGTTTTTCAAGGACTTTTCGGATGTCCTGTGCAAGATGTTCGAATTGGGCGTCCCCTTCAAGTCGAAGCCCGAAGACCGGTTTCACTTCAAGCCGACCATTGATGAGGCTTGATCTTTGAACACCAATGAGGGATATTGTACAAAGGACGACATTTTTTGGAGAGAGAGAGAGAGAGAGAGAGAGAATACCCGGAGGATGGCCAGCAGTGTATCTCGCCCGACACCTTTTGGTGAGAGTTCATTTTCATTGGAATGATGTATGTTGGAATATTGGCGCCCATTTTGCTTTTGTTTTCAAAGAATGACCAAGTTGAGGGGAATCTATTTCGAGCGGTCCCTGGCGAGCTTCTCCAAATCTTCTGGACAAGAGAGCTCTTCACACACGGGGTTGTTGGTAGTGGTTCTCACGTCTCATTTTGCTGACTACGACGATGTATCAACATGCATCGTACCCTCCTATTGGGGCAAGCGATTGATCAACAAGTGGGCAAAGCAGACAGATCGGGGGATATGGTGCATAGCGGCGGCGGCGGATATTCAATGTCGATTAAGCGATAGACAATAGATTGTACCGAGTAATCAGAGAGACGCAATACTCTTTACCAAGCAGCACAGGATACAAGTGCATATAAGTACATTGATAAGCATTGCTTGCTTACTTTGGGATTCAGTGTATCTCGTATACTTGTCGCAATTGAGCAGGAGGGAGACTCTGCTTGACCCACCGGTTCGGAGGCCTACTTGCTGCTTTACTCGTTCTGCGACATTTGCCCTGCTCTGTGTTAAAGCGGCTTACTTAGCTTACTCGTTGCACCAGAACCAGTCAGTACCTCGTATGTCGTATGGCATGGCAAATAGGTAGTACCTACCATTGTACCCCTGCGCCTTGTACCGAGCCCCGAGTTTCTTGAACCAATTCCCAACCACTCCGCCGCTTGTCCTTCGTACCTTTCGCCGATCTCGATCTCGATCTTCCCACCAACTTGATTGAACGAACGTCCCGCCCGCACTTTCAGGAAGACGATCGCCACAAGCTATTTATTACCAAGTTCTAACTCGCATCGAGTAAGGACTCTGCATCGGTCAAGCTCCGTAGGTACTACTCGGAGTAGTGCTTCCTTCGACGCCATGGAGCTCGCCGAAGCCCTTATCGTCAGCCAATCAAGTCCAGCAAAGCTTCTGTGCCTCCCAGTTTGGTGTCCTCGCACTATCCCAATCAAGGCATGTGGTCGTGTGCCTCGATGAGACGTTGCAATCAATCAGTTAACGGTGTATGGCCGTTGGTGCGCGTGCGCGTACCGGAACTTGTCTGCAATGTCATGGAGCTTTGATGACGATGACACATGGAGAGTAAGAGAGAAAGAGGGACGGGCTGGGTTATTAAAGTGGCATAAGGCAACCCGTGGTGGCCGGGGGAGCTCTTCTACTTCTTTTCTCTAGAGCTTTCTTTCTTGAGAGGAACGGAGCTTCGAGAGTCAGGGTTTGTGAGGTTTGGTTCACGAGTCACACAGAAGCTCGGTCCGGGTCATCACTAAAACGTCGGAAAGATGAAGCTCTCGCTTGTCTTGTCCTTGGCCGTCATGGCCGCCCTGTCTAGCGGCTCTGCGGCCATCTCGATCCTCATGGGCAATGACGACGGGTTCGGAAGTGCTCAGCTTCGCGAGTTCTACCGCTTCCTCAAGGCTGACGGACATGATGTCCTGATTGTCGCTCCGGTCGACAACGAGAGCGGCCAGGGCGGTCGATCCGTCTACTCGTCGTCGCCGAACCTGACGACGGCGTCCGAGTTCAACCTGATTCCAGCGGGTGCTCCAGCCCTGGGCCGAGATCCATCAGACCCGGACATCTGGTACTACAATGGCACCCCCGCGGCGTGCACCTTTGTGGCTCTGGACCATGTGCTTCCGCTGTTCTACGACAACAAGACCATCGACCTCTACGTGGGCGGGCCCAACTACGGCACCAACGTGGGAAGCTTTCTGTACACCCTGAGTGGCACGATGGGTGGCACGTACGCGGCCGTCGGTCGAGGCTACCCCGCCATCGCCTTTTCTGGGGGTAACAGCGAGCAGAGGGCATATACCTGGATCAACGCCACCACGGCCTCCGGTCACCCCGACCCTGCCACCATCCAGGGCCGCTTGGCTGCCGATGTGGTCGAACAACTCGTGAACGGGACGAAGGCGGGCAAGAGGCTGATGCCGGTAGGCTATGGGCTGAAGTAAGTTTCATGCTGATGAGATTGTGTTTGAGAGAGTGAGGCTATGAAATTAACAATGAACAGCGTCAACACCCCACTCATCACCTCCTTCATCAACGACTCGTGCGTCGCCCCGCCTTTCATCCAGACTCGCTTCTCCGGGGGTGGATTCATCGACTCGGCCGTGTTCAACGCCACGACGGGCACGTTCCATTTCGGCGACGTCCTCGGCTCCGGCGTCAACCGCTGCATCAACGGCAATTGCGCTCTGCCGGGTGAGACCACCGTCGTCGACGAGGGCTGCTTCGCCACGGTCTCCGTCTTCTCCATCGACTACGACGCCCCGCTGGGCAAAGACCAGACCGATCTGCGCGTGGCCATGGAGCCGCTGGTGGCGTTCCAGGATCCGTCCTCCAAGATGGCGGTTCGGCGGGCCATGACAGGTACGTTGGCCATTCCTTTACCCGGTGTTTTTATCCCTTTCTAGAAGCGTGGCGTGGGGCTGACATTTCTACTTCATCTCTTAGATCAAGAACTCGAGGAACGTCATCCTAGTCGGCACGAATAGATGAAAAAAAAAAGGGGTAAACAGAGGGATGAAAAGTATCAAGGAGAGTCCATGCTCAGGGTTCTTGGTGTGCTTGTATTTCTGTATACCTTTACACCTACCTTGTTTGTGATGACCTTACAGACTTACAGTATGTACATACTTGTGCAAAACAAGAAATGCCAATTCAATTAATCTCCAAGTACCTTGTTCTTTGACGACGGAGGAGTGAATGGGTCGAAACCCGACTTTGGGAATTGTCTACTCATTCACTCATCCCTATTCCCTTGTTTCCCTGTGTACTTGCATCGTGTGTTCAGTGTGTCTAACGTCACCAGTTCCCAATGCCGGCATCGTCGTGAACGTACGCGTAAGTACATTGACATGGTTCGTACGAGGCTGCTTTAGTCAGGCACATGACGTAGCATCGCGAGGGCACCCGGCCAAATACGGGAGCCCCGAGGGAGCCATGGTGGAGTAAGAGCTAGCCGACGGGACTCTAGCAACGGGAGGCTAGGTACTACATATCATATTTCCCACGATGCCTCTCCGCCCGTCGAGTTTTACCGCCGCACGAAAGGTTTTTTGACGTCAGAGGTGTCCTTCAAGTCCACGTGGACTTTTCCCTCTCTCTCTCTGAGAAAAAGCCTAGCCAGGGTGTCGTGCCCTCTCCGCACCCCCCGGGGGGGGGGGTGGAAGTTGATCAAGTAGGTCAGAATGCAGACACGAGGAAAAGACAAATGGAGTTTTCCCGTGGGCGGTTTTTCTTGTTCCGATCCTCAACGAGGCATTCAAATGGGGCCGTATATTTACCATAGAGAAAACAAAAAAAAGAAAAGAAAAAACCTCCTAGCTGCCTGTTAAGCTCAGCGAGCTCTTCAAAGACAGCATCAGGAAGAATTTACCGATATGAATGATGTGTTGCTCTGTCTCCAATGGATTGATTCTGCTTGGCCATCGGCCGCTGCTGGCGAGAAAAAGATTTCTCGAAACCTCAACATTGCAACTGAACGCACACATCGGACTGTGACAAGTGTCTCTTGATTGAAACCTTTCAGCACGTTTCATTGGCAAAGTCACAGTGGCTGAACAGAGGTTGATCCCAGCCAAGAACGTCGTTATCAAGAAAACCGGTCAAATCCATCGAGGATTCGTCGAATACCCTGTACCAGTCGGGGAACAAGGTGTCCTCGCCAGCTTCACTTCGTGGATTTTGATGGGTATCGTTGCTGACAGCGTCGTCAAATCGAGACACCAGAAACCAGAAGAAGTCTAGGTAAAGGTGTGCGGCAGATGAAGCTGGAAGCCCTCCCGCTACGCTTCCCAGCTGTTCCAGTATTGCGTTCATTTTGACGGCCAGTTCGGCAACGCTGGTCGATGCAATGCCGTCGCATTTGATGGCCTAGGAAGCACACGTGTCAGCTCTAGACTAGCGACGCGCAGTGACAGACTACGGTTCGTGATGTCGCCGAGAAGACTCACAAAAATGATTTCCGTGGCTGCGTGGCAGACGATGATGAACAGATTATTGTGGGAGCCCAACTTGAGATCGAACATGATCTGTTCAGAAAGCACAATATCCATCAGGTGGCTCGCAACGTTGACACTTGTTTGCAAGACGCTTCGAAGCTCGGGCGAAGTCGTACCTTGATCAAGGCCCCTTAATGCCGCGGCGGCTTGGGCATTGAGGATTAGGATGCTGTGATCCATGTAGAATGCGAGAATAGGAAGGTACTTGGACGATGGATCACCATCATGAGAACATCGGGAATCGCGAGCTTGTTCCAATGTCCGGAGGGCCCGTAAATGCCAATTTGATATGAATGTCACGTCGTTCTTCGACCGTTGTCGATCTTCCAATGCATGCATCTATATTGCTATCAGCAAATCTTCAAGCCCGTCGGGGAGCTTGAAGCGTTTAGTACGCACCAGGAGTACCCTGACCTCTATGATGCCGCTGATCATCCGGTCATGGGGTGTGGCCATCGGATTTTGCCACCACGTTGTTGCTGACACAGGGAGTTCGTGCCTCGAAACATTTAGGGGTCGCCGTCCATTGATGATACCAAAGCTTTTATCGGCGATGAATGTATATAGCCACGTTCTCTCAAAGTTCCGGAGAATGCGCTCTTTTGTGTCCGTACTCGTAGAAGGCGGTAGAGCGCTGAGATGTTCGGTGACGACCGTGGCTTTATCTACTCCAATCTCCCTGGCGAGTCGTACGGCCTGGTCAACTCACCAAGCACGTCAGCTCTTCTCATCCGCTCGGCGGTGCGTGATCTGCGCAAAATGTCGCTCTTCTCACATGATTCAATTGAAGCCAGTAGGGATCATCCGATTGCTTCTGGTGAACAGGAGCCCAATACTGCATGATAATTATGGCTTGGATCGTTTCAATCGACTTCACAGACGTCGCGATGGACCACTTCAGGCATCCTTCGGCCAAAGCAAACAGGGCGGGGTAGACAACGCGATCCCGAGGGAGTGTTGATACCGCACAGCCAAGGGCACAAACAACGGAGAACAGTGTAAAAGACATGGAATAGACATAGTCGGGGGTATGGAGGAGAGGATCCAGTAGCCCGACGAAAGGGTTACGCAGCTCTAAAAACCTGCGTCCAGTGGTCAGTCCATGTAACACTAATGGGTCCAGTGGGCAATGCTTGGAATGCGAAGACGACAGGCTTTTACCAAATGCACTGCCCAGCCCAGGGTACACTGCAACTCACAGCTTGAAATACAGCGATACATCATCCTCATCAATTAGCCGGGCAGTGATAGGATCACAGACACCTTTTTCCAGTCTGAATGTGCTGTTCACTGATTGGGCAGCTAAGTAATGCCAGTCCTTCTGCAAAGTCTTTCGAGGGCCTACCCAAATCGGGGTCAGAACGTTTGTATAGGTCACAGAAGGCGGGATCACCGTACTGAAATAATTTGTTAGGCGCTTAGCCACTGAATCCATAGCATCATTGCCATACGGAAGGCGGAAAGCCACGGGCAAATGCAATCGATCTGAATTCTGTCGGGAGGTGGTGCTCCCCAGGTTATTGACCTTGGCTCCCCAGTTGCGGAAAGGCGCTTCCAGGGGCTGTTGATTGTCGAGCCCGTCTGCCGCAGAATTGGTCTGACCATCTCCAGGTTCAAGGCTTTGATGAGGATCCCCGTTGTTGTCGGTCGTATAGGCGAACGGGGCATTTGACGTGGTGGAGACATCATCAGCTTGCGAAGGTGAGTCTCTGGCCGTTGAAGAGGCGGTAACTCGATTGGCCGAGGCAGATGCGAGCAGGGCATTGATGACCTGGTCTCGCACGCTGCTGTGGTTTATGCGTGATAAGAGCTTTTCGACGGTGTCGGGTTTGCTGCCGCTGCGTCAGCAGAGACAGACAGGAAGCCCAGAGTCTGACTCGGTCACGAAGAAGAAACGGAGAAGGCATGATTCACTTGGTACTTCCCAGCTTCCGACCACGACGAGAAGAGTGAGGATAGCTGCACGACAAACCATTCGACAAGCAGCGCGAGCTACACACAGGATTAATTCTGGGTATAAGAATGAGTCTTCCCCCCCCCTCTGAGTGAACTCACCATGGAGTTTCCCGGCTGCAACGTTGTCTGGTCGAACGGCAATTAAGACATGCTGTGCGTTGGTGAGCAGTCGTATGCCCGACCCCGGACTGCTGTTTGTCCATACTCAGGCGACTGCTGCTGCCTCAGCGTGTGCTGTCTTGATCCTTTCAACATTTGCGGGGCAGGCTGTTTCGCCGCTTGCCTATTCCTTGGGTCTCTAGGTCTCTAGATCTAGAGTATATAGTGTGAGAATATCTGAGGTGTGAGGTGGCGGTTTCTCAACCATGGCAAACAACACATCTATTCCCCGACTGAACCTCGGGGACCAGCTGAGGCAACAAATTCCAGACGAACCATAATCCCCCTCGCCCCGCACCGGACCACCCACAGATAAGTGTGTGTATTAGGTAAAGCTACCATCGCATGCCAGTGACCGAATTCCGTCTCCCCAGCGAGGCAGGTAATATGGGCAGAAGACCCCACGAGCCCAATAGTGGAGATGGAATTCTGTCACCCCTCAGGTGGGTACCAGGAACTAGACTTCGCTTGCGCAAAACAGAACTAGTCCCCGACTAGAATTTTGATCGAGTCCTAGTTAGAGCCCGATGTAAATGCTACGCATGTCCCTTCTTCGATTTACTCCTCGAACTCTCTCGAAAGACGATTCTCGAGATGGCGACAGCACTCACTTTGGAAACCGCAGGTAAAATCCCCGCCAGTGAACCTTACTACGATCTCGGTGAGTATACATGGCCTGTCTGCACCCAGGTTCACGACGCCCAAATATGGTTTGATCGAGGCCTTTTATGGGTCTATTCGTTTAACCACCGAGAATCGGCTGCTTGTTTCCGACAGGTCATCTTACACGATCCGGACTGCGCAATGGGCTACTGGGGAGCCGCCTTCGCCACAGGTCCCAACTACAATAAGGTCTGGCAGGCCTTTGATCCCCAGGATTTGAAAGAGTCTGTCGCGAAATGCTACGACTGGTCCCGTAAAGCGAAGGAATTATCTGACAAAGCCTCAATCGCGGAGCAGGCTATCATCGAAGCTCTGCAACATCGCTTTCCAGCCAGAGAGCCACCCGGCGACTTCACCCCGTCCGTCCGAGCGTACGCCGACGCAATGAGGGAGGCTAACCTCAAGCTTGGAGCCGGAAATCTGGACATTATCACCCTGGCGGCGGATGCTTTAATGAACATGGCACCGTGGAAGCTATACGAGGCCGGGACTGGGGAGCCAAATCTCGCCACACCAGTCCTGGAAGTCAAGACAATTCTCGAATCCGGTCTACAGCTCCCCAGAGCAGACCGCCATCCGGGGATCCTGCACATGTACATCCACTGTGTCGAGATGTCGAAAACCCCCCAGTTAGCCCTGAGGACGGCAGATAACCTCAGAAAACTTGTCCCGGACGGCGGACATATTACCCATATGTCGAGTCATATCGATGTTCTCGTCGGAGATTATCGCCGAGCCATGCATACAAACATCCAAGCAACCATGGCGGATGATAGATACTATGCCCGTGAGGGCGGTAAAAACTTTTACACCTTTTATCGCATGCACAATTACCATTCGTTGATCTACGGAGCCATGATGGCCGGAAACTCACGCGTGGCCCTGGAGGCGACGGATCGCATGGAGTCTACTCTCAGCGATGACATCCTCCTTATCAACTCCCCTCCGATGGCCGACTGGGTGGAATTCTTCGCGTCGGTCCGCGTGCATGTCCTCATCAGGTTTGGAATGTGGGACAGGTTGAAGAGACTTGCATTGCCAGAAAACAAGCAGCTCTATTGCGTTACCACGGCCATGATGCATTATGGCAAAGCGATCGCCTGGGCTGCAACCAGAAATGTCCAAAATGCCGATCGAGAACGAGAGCTTTTTCGCGACGCGGCCAAGCGTGTCCCAGTTACCCGAATGGATTTCCCGAACAAGGTCGTTGACGAACTTGAGGTTGCGACAGCCATGTTGGACGGGGAAATCGAGTACCGGCGTGGGAACTATAAGGTGGCATTCGAGAGCCTACAACTCGCCGTAGCGAAGGATGACGCTTTGATCTATTCCGAGCCGTGGGGCTGGATGCTGCCAACTCGCCATCCGTACGCAGCCCTACTTCTAGAACAAGGTCAGGTTGCAGAAGCCGCACAGATCTATGCCGAGGACTTGGGACTGGACGAGAAGTTGGTGCGGGCGCATCAACACCCTAACAATATCTGGGCGCTGAAAGGATATTACGAATGCCTGCAGCGACTCGGTCGCACTGCAGAGGCCAACATCATTTTGTCGAACCTCAACATCGCCGAGGCCGGAGCGGACATGACGATCCGGTCGTCTTGTTTCTGCAGGCTAGGTACAGCCCCAGGCCAAAGTTTGGCTGCTGCGTAGCGACTACCCGACCTGAAGACCGAAGAGCATGTTCTGATGAGCATAGGTTGCAGGTTGTCTTGCGCAAGATTTACTTCGAGGCAATACGAATGGTCTACACCCGCGCCTATCCCGAATAAAATCTTTGTTGGTCTCGAGCATGGAGAAATCTGCATGTGCGGTATTCGGGCATGAATTGGCCGCCTACGCTGTCGAAGCCGTCTCAACCACACCATTGTTGATATTCGGTACCGGTTGTAGAGAAAACAAACTGCGGTCATGGCAAAATGAGAGTGATATTGACCGGTGCGGGCCATGAGGGGTTGGAAGGAGCAACAACACTTCACAACAGCAGGATACACCTGAAACTTTTACGTTCTACCATGAACAGGTCTCTAGAGCTAGTCACGCCCATCGACGTCCCAATGTGGTATGGGGTCGCGTATTGCTCTCACAATTGTTGCAGGTGACTTTAGCGTGCAACCCGTTCATTGAGCAAGTACTCCTCCTGCAAATCAGATGTTGAGTGACGCGTAATGCAAGAGATCTGTCTCTGTGACGTTACTCAATTGACAATGGAAGACGCTGGCCCAATTTGTAAAGTCATAAGCGGGAAGAAACAACAATCAAGTGTCCCATTCAAGGTGAATGCAGAGGCTGACCCCGGGGGGGGGGGGGGTTGAACTTACTGGAAGTAGAAATATGCCACGATGAGGAAGAAAAAGGGACAGCCGACAAATACGTAGTAGTAGTTCTAACCCCACAGACGAAATCATTGGTTTTGTGTCCAAAAGAGGGAGCCTATGGGGAGGGGACACCGCCCTCAGAGAACGAGTGGGCAACTCACCTCTTTGATATTGGCAAAGG